TAATAAAATCTAGGAGAATTTCAAATGAATATTGTCTTGCTGCAGGATGGAACGCCACCACATTATATGGCTATGGCAAGAATGTACGTTAATACCAAGTGGATAAGGTGGATAAGTCTAACACCTTATTTTTTATGGGGATATTTAAAAGCTGATGTGTAGGTAAAACCACTGAACATCATTGAGGAATTTAAAGAAAAAATTAGAATTGATTCTGTCATATTGGGTCGTCTGAGGAAGTAGATTTTGCACGTTTTGTTTACTTATAATCAAGTTAAAAGAAATGGCTTAGAAGAGGTCAGCTAATGTGTAAGGTTTCATTTGCTCGCAAGCATGTGCTTTGTGACTCTGTAGAGTTGAAGCCTGCTTAATGCTTCACACAACTATGTACAAGGCCTTAGCGACAAATTAGTAAAACCAACTTCATAAAATTCAAAATGTAGTAAATNATTGAGGTTATCTAATATCGAATCTTTAAAATTACTTCGCATCGACTTTACAAGTGATAGTTTAGGATTAGAACATTAAAGAACAATAAAATGTACCGAAATTCACTAGTGTATAGTATCTAACATTATTTTATAATTGTTTAAAAAAAAACTCTTCTGCGATCAATACGATAATCAAACAAGACTAAATTACTGGTAATGTTATTATTACAATATATTAAAGGTTGTCTAAGTTCCTATGCTGCAATACTTTGATATTAGTTTGTTGGCGAGGGAAAGCGATCACGGATTGCGCACGCAACCTCATGGCCATGTGGTGCTTCATGCATTTGTTTAATTTGAATTGCTTGGCGGTATTATTTTCCACATGGGACGTAATGCGCAGTATGGTTGCGTATGAACCTAGACAACCTTTTATATATAAACCTTGGTATGGTGTGCTAATTAGCGTGCCACCCCTGTATATTATTTACTTCAAAATAAATTAAACCCTTACTTAGATATTTGGTACAATATTCGAATAAAATACAGTTCATTTCATATATTTGCTGATTGACATTAAACTTGGGGTTTATTTATAGTATTGACATAAAAATAATATTTGTGTGCCTTAGCCTAGATATAATCTTGTGTAGTTGTGGCTTAATTGGCAAACTGTTCAGGTAGTATGCTATGGAAACAATTGATAGATATTGGCTGGTTGGTTGAGTATGTGCAATAGGAGGGAGTTTTACAGTTTGATTCTATTCCACAGAATTGTGGTCTCTGGAATTCCGGAATATCTATATAATAAAATTATATTCAAACCACAGCTTCGTCAAACCAGGTCGGGAGTGAGTTTCTATCCGCCGAGGTTTAGAACTGTTCCAGCGATCGTTTACGTATCACATTTACAAATCATACGGATCTTTACCAATTGTGTTTCGACAGTTGTCTTTATCTCGATTTCGCACAGAACTAAGGAGACTAATGTTTTGTCAGCAGTCAGTGGATGTCAGTTGAATCTCATCTGTATTCAGTTTGTTTTTTTTTATTATTTTCTATTGCAGGCTCTACAAGGGCAACCTTATCAGGTTGTTTTTCTTTTTTCTTTCCTTTTCTTTTGTTTTGTTAGGATGTTTTCTTTTGTGTTCAGTTGGATAGAGCAGATTTTTCTGGATCCCGCCATTTGTATCTCGATATGGGTATTTATATTTGTATATACAGGATGTCCCGCAACGATTGTACAAAACTGCATCAGCGTATTCTATGATCAAAAATAAACAAAAAAAGCCTAATAAACATAGGTCCGAAAATGGACCATTTTCGAGATATTCAAAGATTTTGTTTCATAAGTTGATATTGTTAACATCATGAATTTAAATTTGTTTTTATAATAATTAAGTCGTTACTATAATTACGATAAGTTGTCTAATCAAAAAAAAATAATAATACTTCACGAAATTATTATTTTACTATTTAATTTAATAAAACTATTAAGTATGGCTCCTATTAATTACTCCAAGGAAGAGATGGCGGATATGGTGTATTGTTACGGACTAACTGATGGAAATGCGTCGTTAGCAGCTCGTCATTACGCGAAAAGGTTCCCGAACAGACGATTGCCTAATAGTCACACCTTTAGCAGACTATTTCTCAGATTAAAAGAAACGGGAAGCGTAACCCACAGCCATTCCACGGAGAGACATTACACAAGGCCGGTGGAATTAGAAGAAGCAGTTTTGAGAAGAGTCGATGAAAATGCCTCAACCAGCATTAGAAGAATTTCTGCACAAGAAAACATTAACAAAACAACCGTTCACCGCATTTTAAGGGAGCAGTTGCTTTATCCTTATCATTACAACACCGTTCAAGCTCTAACAGAAAATGATGGCGAAAAAAGAGAGATTTTTTGTAGGTGGGCCATACAGGAAGAGGTAGTAAACGTCGACTTTCCCATAAACATTGTATTTACGGATGAAGCAACATTTACTCAAAGCGGAATTTTTAATATTCATAATGCGCACGTTTGGAGCGATGAAAATCCCCATGCAATACTAGAAACTCATCATCAGTGGCGATTCAGTGTTAATGTATGGGCTGGAGTTATAGGTGATCAGTTATTAGGTCCATTTTTTCTTCCAAAGAGATTGACAGCCGATGCCTACATACATTTTTTACAAAATGACCTTACAGAGGCATTTGATGAATTACCTCAACAAATTCTAGAAGATTGCTACTTTATGCACGATGGAGCACCAGCACATTATGCACGCGCTACTCGAGCATACTTAAATAACAGATTTGGCAATAAGTGGATTGGCCGAGGAGGGCCACCTCGTTCACCAGATTTAAATCCGTTAGATTTTTGGTTTTGGGGACATTTAAAACAAATTGTTTATTCTGAAGACGTTCAAAATGTGCAGGATTTGAAGAATAAAATTAGTAACGCATTTGACACAGTAAAACAAATTCCTGGTATCTTTGAACGCATTAGAAGTTCATTTAGAAAACGTATCCGTTTGTGTTTAGAAGTAAATGGTGCGCATATTGAACATTTATTATGACATGAATCTTTTCCAATTTGTTAAATATTCGTTGTTTTTATGCTGGTTGAACGATTTTCTTCGACAATCTTTGTTACTTGTTTTGTTAAATTATTAATGAACTGTATTAATTAACTTAATATTATCTTATTATTTATTAAACTTTATCTTAACCATCGTAACCATGGTAATCATATAATTACTGTATCTAAATCGTTAGAATTAATGATGTTTACAATAGGTCAGCTTATAAAACTAAAACTTTGAATATCTCGAAATTGGTCCATTTTCGGACCTATGTTTATTAGACTTTTCTTGTCTGTTTTCGATCCGAGAATACGCTGATGCAGTATTGTACAATCGTTGCGGAACATCCTGTATATGTATTTTTTTTTTTATTTTAATTTACGATAACACATTGGGTTATGTTGTTTTCATTTATTGTTTTAAGTTATTATAATTTCACAATTATGCATACATTTATATACATATTCATTTAGTTATACTTTTTGTTATGTATTTTTCTATTTGTTCTATATCGGATACAATAAAGTCATATTATTAATATTATTATTATTATTATATGTTTGGTTATGATAGCTTAAGGAAAACGTATGTTTCGTTTAGTTTCTAATTAACGTTAATTGCGGTTTTGTAAATTATTATCAATATGAATTTTTCTAATCAAAAAAAGTGTGTGTAGCATGCTGTGCACACGACGTGTAGAAAATCAAGTTCGTGTTGCTAAACAAAATGTTATTATTCATCATTCATTCAAAATTATTATAAACACGAGTACGGTGCATATATTATTTATTAAAATATATATTTATTTATGTTGTCGACTATATATACCTCCACACAGAGTATAGATTCAGAAAAAGATCTTCTTTTGTATTCCGTAATAAAAATGGGAGATTGCCATTTGAAAAAAATATCGATTGCGTCATAACTCGTTAAACCGTTTAACGGGTAAATTATTTTTTCGTTTTTAGAAACGATTTAGTTATGGTAATGCAACTATTTGACCTTATTGACAAGTGGTCTCTATAAAAGCCGCTAACCGTTAAAGGGTTAAAAATGAGGGAACAATTTTGAAATCTATACCAAAAAATTGCACAAAAGTTAAATCTTTAGACCGATTTCNGCTTGCTTACTTATCAGGAACAACATTAATGCTTTCTTAATCTCAGAGCATAGCGACCGCGATTGTGTGGCTGCGGTTCTGAGAATCCGAGGTGAGAAGGGCTGGACAGAAATTGTCATCTGCTCGGCATACTTCCCCGGAACGGAAAATGACCTTCCCCCGGCCGCTGTGCGAGACATAATAGAGGAGGAATAACCTGCAAGTTGTTGTTGGATGTGACGCCAATGCCCACCACACAATGTGGGCAAGCACCAACACAAATGAAAGAGGTAAGTTACTTTTTGACTACCTATTAGGGGACTGTTAATAATGTAGGCGCCAAATCAACCTTTGTTACCAGAAATAGAGCAGAGGTACTTGACATTACGTTCAGCTCTAAGATAACTGTAGCATGCTGTGCACACGACATGTAGAAAATCAAGTTCGTGTTGCTAAACAAAATGTTATTATTCATCATTCATTCAAAATTATTATAAACACGAGTACGGTGCATATATTATTTATTAAAATATATATTTATTTATGTTGTCGACTATATATATCCACAGTGTGATATCATTGAGTGTTACATTTTATGCTATAAAAATGTAATACAAGCTGCAGAACAGTATTTTGAACAATATTTTGATTGAAAAATACAGTGGGGTCAAATGTGCATTTTATGAATTTTTTTTTGTAGACTACTGTTATTATCGTTTCATTCTAATTAAAAGGTGAAATAAAGAGAAAGAATTTAAAATACCAAGAAAGAGTCAAGTAGTGTCATCTATCGAGTATATACAGAAGCATAACAAGTGTTTATTCAAATATTGGTGCGCCATCTATTATCCAAAGAATGAAACACAATTACGCATGCGTACAAATGAAAACCATCCCAATACAAACATATCGATTTGACGTTTGACGTTTAATTCTTAACCTAAAAATGTAAGTCTAGTTATATAAATTAATTTTGTACCTAAAAACAATAAAAACCTATTTATTTTTCAATCATATATATAAAACACCTCTTCTCAGTAGTAATTTAATTTATTTTTTATAAAATTACTATTTATTTTTGTTTCATACAAATATTTTTAGATTGGCAAAAATGGCAAACAATAAAAATCCAAAAGGGGAGTTAGAAAATGTTCGTGTTGTTATTCGAGTGAGGCCCCAAAGTAAAAAGGAGCAACAAGAAGGGAACCAAAATATCATAACAATCGATCGCGAAGAAAATGTTATCTCATTAATGAAAAGGACCCCCAATGAGAAACCTAAAGTGTTTAAATTCGATCATATCTTCTCAGAAGATTGCACACAAATGGATTTGTATCGCCACATAGCTTTTCCCATTGTTGAAAAAGTACTCCAAGGTTATAACGGTACTGTATTCGCATATGGTCAAACAGGAACAGGAAAAACTTACACCATGGCTGGGAAAAATACTTCAGAAACAAAGGGAATTATTCCAAATACTTTCTCTCACATATTTAGCCAAATATCTCGCTCAACAGGCGAAAAATCTTTTGTTGTAACCGTAACATATTTAGAAATTTATAACGAAGATGTTCGTGATTTATTGTCATCGAATCCAAACGCTAAATTAGAAGTGAGAGAGCGCACAGATGTTGGAGTTTATGTCAAAGATTTGATGGGGTTCACTGTTGACTCAATAGAATCAATATCTGAGTTAATGAATCGTGGGAATACGAACCGTATGACGAGGTCAACATTAATGAACGACGTCAGCTCAAGATCCCACGCAATTTTCACCATAACCATCGAATCTAAAGACCGTATCGACAATAAAACAACAATAGGAAAATTAAATTTGGTCGACTTAGCCGGTTCGGAACGTTTGAGCCGCACCCAAGCCACTGGAGAACGATTAAAAGAAGCCAGCAATATTAATCAATCATTATCCGTTTTAGGGAACGTCATTTCTGCCTTAGTTGATGGGAAAAGTAGTCACATCCCATACAGAAACTCAAAATTAACTAGATTACTACAAGATTCGTTGGGGGGAAACTCAAAAACGGCTATGATCGCGATGGTTAGCCCATCAGAGGCGGATTATGAAGAAAGTATATGCACGTTGCGTTACGCAAGTAGAGTCAAGTACATAAAGAATCAAATAAGAGTAAACGTCGAGACGAAGAAGGGAATGATCGAGTGTTTTGAGCAAGAAATAGCCAAGTTGCAACAAAGAATCTCAATAATATCGCTACACGAAGAAAAAGCTGCCATAAAAATGGCGGTAAGTTAATTCATTGTACAGGGTGTCCCAATTTCGATGTCCGCATAGGCTATCTCCCAAAGTAAAAGATATAGAAAAAAAGTAGCTTACATGTCATGATCTCGTTTTTCGAGAAAATGCTAATGCCGAAAACTCCGAACAGCTATCGTCTTTTGTTTTCGCCCTATCGGCAAAAACTGAAAATTTTGCAAAAACGACAATCGCGAATATCTCACTTATTATCAAAGATGGAGTATTATAAATAAAACATTATATGGGCAACTTTTTACGAAGAATTCAGTGGCGTAGGTAGAATTTTTTTCCCATCTTTTATTTTCGAGATTTTAGACGTAACTTTATTTTTTTAAATGGAAACCATAGTTGGCTATGACTTAAAATAATTTGTTATTTTCTTCTGATAACAAATATATATAGTTTGTGGGGTATATTTCTTATAGTTATTGAATAATTAACAAAAATTCATTTTGTTCTATCTAAAACTAATGTATCTATTTAAAAGTTAATGTTGCTATGGTGATAACCATACATACTTAAAACAATTTTTATACATAACCTT